TAACGATAGGCCCTGTGGAAAAGGGTCCGAACACAGCTTCTTTTATGGGCTGCTGGGTGGTTACTCTGATAGCTCAGGATGATCTCAGCGTCAGAGCTTTTCCGATGAACGCTTGTTGCGATGCCGCCGTCACTGAGCTTTTATATGCTCACGTCTAGGAACGGGAGGGTGCCTCCTTTTGCATCTTCACGAGTGAATTGTAGTGCTGGGAAGGCGCCATTCAAGCTCTGGTGAAATCGCTCAACTTCACAGGTCTTAACGATGACAAATGTGTCATCTACGTATCTGAGCCAGGTTTTTGGTTGGAAACTTTGCACAACATCCTGTTCTAGTCGTTGTAAGACTAGTTCTGCAAGTAGCCCCGAAATTGGCGAACCCATTGGGGTGCCCTTAACCTGCTGGTAGTATTTGCCATCGAATTGGCAATAGTTATTGAGGCAGAGCTTAAGCAATTCTAGAACGTGATGTGTTGGAAGGTCGATGGGATTGTCTCGTAAGCGTTGGGCCACGCTCTCAATGGCAAGGTCATGTGGTATTGAGGAAAACAATGCGACAACATCAAATGATAGAATATTTTCATCAGGACTTACTTTAAAACCTTCAATCCTTTGAAGGAATGCCTGAGAATTTGTGATGCTATATCCATCAGCGAGGTGCTTCAGATGCCTGTAAAGCCATTTGGCTAGGTTGTAAGTGGGCGACCCGATGAGTGGCACTATTATCCTCAATGGTGCATCTGGTTTGTGCACTTTTGGAAGGCCATATGCATGCGCGATACGGGGGTCAGTGAGAGTCATGCATTTAGAGTCATTTGGGTTAATCAGCTTCAGTCGAGCGAGTTCATTCACCTTCTTCTTTATAACTGCGGCCTGCTTCTTCGTCGGGTCCTCAGCGAGTGGTGCGTAAGCTTCCCTATCATTAAAGATAGAGTTTGCTTTTCGAACGTAATCAACCTTGTCCATGATGACGGTTGCGCCTCCTTTGTCAGCAGGTACAACCACGATACTGTCATCAGTCTTCAGAGATCGCAACCCTTTTTCTTCATCGACGGTCAAGTTACGGTGACGTTTCCTTTGTCGAAGAAGACCACTGGCACAACTGCGTATGTCCGCACGCACGTCTTCAGGGATAGCAGAAGCCAGTAGGACGGATTCAAGACTCGCTAGGAAGTTTGTTGGTGCTGCATCGGTATGATTGAATTTAAGTCCTTTAGAGAGTAGGCTTATCTCGGCGGGTGTTAGACTCCGTTTCGAAAGGTTAACGACTCTCGCAGACATGCTGCACTTGTCGGTAGTACAGAGAAGGGATTGCAGTTTATCATTCAAGTCGGCTCGCTTCTTCATTCTGGCATCTGTTGAGGTCGCATTTATACGTTGTAGTATGGCTTCGAAGATATCTTCAGGCAAGGCTGAGAAGCACTGGTACCTAATGTCGGAGATTATTGTCTCAAATCTAGAAAGTCGGTGGTGCACGTGTGGTATAATTGCACTCAATACACGGAATCCGTATTTGCGTGCGAGTAGCCTTCCTGTCTCATTTGGTAGAGTGGGCTTCAAGCGAAGAGACTTCGCCCTACATGCCGAGAATTTCCGAAGCGATCGCTCGACAATTAAATCAATTCGGCATCTCCATCGCCCACAAACCGGCGTCTTCATTGCGCACGACATTATCCCGGGTAAAAGACCCCATACCGAAGGAGCAGCAAACAAATGTCATTTACCGCATTCCATGTTCAAACTGCTCTAACGTTTATGTTGGGCATACCGGCCGACGACTTGGGACCCGCATTAACGAACATAAGTTGGCCATCCGCCGACGGGACCCCTTGTCTCTCGTGTTTGCGCACTCCCTTGAGTGTGATCACCGCTTCAACTGGGAGGGGACCGAAGTGATCGCTAGTGCCAACACCAAACAAGCGCGAGAGTTTCTAGAAGCTTGGAACTCTTATAGCAATAGCATCAACCGCCATGTCGACTTGGACGATCAATACGAAGGCTTACGTTCACGGTTCGCCGGCTTGCGCCCACACTATGCCACCAACTGCTAATCCATGTTCGGCCGTGTAGAATATCATGGATTCAGCACCTCCCCCACAGAGTGAACCATGTGTGAAACCCCCCAACACCACCCCTAACGTCCGCCACCTATACAAACACGTTCTTCACCCCCACACATAAACGCCTGTCTTGTCGATGTAACCTCGATGTCCCCCTGACTCCCCAGTAGGATTATCTCCCTCACACTTTTCATTTTCGTCTGACGACGGGTTGGTGTAACCGACTTGAAAATTCACGAGTATACCTCGATTTTCCGACGAGCCTTCTCCTTTTATTATATATATATATATATATATATATATATATATTATTACCATAACTCGGAGGGGGGAGTGTGGTAGGTGCTGCCCCAGTGTGCTTTCACTATAAAGTGATTCACGCACATGTTACCGTGCCTGTTCGACGTCGCTGTGGAGTACACTCTGGACATCGTCGAGCACGACGGCCGAAATGTCAGTGCATATGTTGATTGCATAAATTAGTCCCTAGCGCCTGTCTGTTCCTTCCTAAACTTCATTCGAGAGTCGCCTGTGTTATCTCCCGTCAGAGATGCCGCGTTGGAAGCCCCCATACGCGGGCGTTTATTGTAAATATGAAGAAATAAAGACAGAACTCGCAGAATTCATACCCCCATCGGACTAATCAACGATAAGTCGTCAGTCACAGTAGAGCCATGTGCTACACTGTTTGCATTATAGCAGAAAACTCACAGTATATATGGATCCAGGCCTACTCTTTAACTCGAACTTCCCTCTGAGCCAAACCTGCTTCACAGGTCAGAGGACTGGGCGATATTTCTGTCAGTAGATTTCAGTAAAAGGCATTTGGGCTAACGTGTATGTCATTCAGAAACCCTCGTCCTGATACCAATTTAAGTCAGTGCTTTAGTTATTAATTGGCTATCGAGCGTCATCACCTTTTGATCGGTGATGAGGACTTGATTAAGACAGTTTACGTTTGTTATCACCACAATTTTAGCATTTACGTATTGAATGCGATTGAGGCAAAGTTGATTTACGCGCAACGGATAAGCATGCGCGGACGCATGATCATGACGGAGAAAATGAACTGTTGACACTCACTCCAAGCTAATGGGCATATTTCTCGCCAACACATCGAACTAATGACTCTATCAACAAACATACCAATACATCAAGAGCTATAGAATGTCTAGGATATAGATCGATAGTCCGACCGATGTGGTTTTGACTTTGAATCGCAATGGCATTCTTCCTTATGCTTGACACAGTTCCGTTCTCATAGTTTACGGAAAAAACTAAGCACAGCCCACTTGGCTATCGTTTCTCTGTCTACAAAATCGTTGCCATTTCTTCAGTGGAATTGCCTGTGCACGAATGGTTGCCGTTTTCTCGAAAGTTACTTTCAGCAGCCGATGCCTTTTGAGGATAGGAAGGGGAGAAATGTGTTGCTCTGTTTAAAAACACCAAAGTTTTGGCGCCGTCTACGAGGTCATTGTTCAGGAATGTGAAGAGGCAGTGTGACGCGCACCTCATCTCGTCCAGAAGCCTGGGCATTCATTCTTTTCGTTTAAAACAAATCAGAAATTGTGTCCTCAAATGGACTATTGTACCCAGTCAAATATTTGTAGTTGCATTGATCATTCTATTTCGGCCGGTAGGTGATCAAACAATCCAGCTTTAAGGGCATATTGATTTGCATCTTTATTCCCCACATCTTTGTCCTCCTCCGACGAGATACGGTGATAAAACACGCTGCCAGGAAAATCAGGAAATAGCGATCGCAAAATTGGTCGTTGGTTTTAAAGATTTCTGAACAACATTCCAGTTGTGATCATGTGCGCTAAACCCAGGCCTGATGCAATGCAACTATGCCAGTAAAGTAATCAAAAGCGAGACAGGTTGCATTTCGTAGAGCAGTATCAAGTTCAGTGTCATGAATACCTACCGTCCTTCCCCCCGGTGAACCTGTCTGTCTCTCTACTTTGGTTCGAGGATGTTTATGAACTAAGACTTATAAGAGTGTAAGATGAGGAGACTACGACCTGTAAAGTCTATTCTTTTGGTCAGTGAGCATTTTAATTTAGGTAGAACACCTAGCTGAAATTGACATCATTTCCTCTTGCGAGCCTCGCACGTTTTGGCATAAAGCAAGAAGCTGGGCCTCAGTAATGTCTAGTTTCATAGGTCGCATATTCTCCAAGGACATTCAAATAGCACACTGCCTATACGTACATGTCCCGTACCTGAAGACAAGGCGTTGCGCACTCAGTGGACATGTTTCCTTTCAGCGATTAAGTGAAGTCATGCAGCATGTCTGTTCCGTCGTGAGTGGCGCCGTAAGTGTGTGTGTGTGGTGTAGCGGTCGGCATGGCTGCCTACCATGTAGTCGATCTGTGTTCAACTCCCGGCACACGTAGGCCTCAATTCCTTATTATCCGTTTCCATAGCAGGGGCTTTTTGCAAGCATACTTGACGATGGAGAGGGGCCTCTTCTGTGCGCCAAGACCTCTGAATGCTTTCGACTCCTGCTTCCACACTGGGAGCACGAGTGAGTTACGCGCAGGCAGGGATGGTTTGGGCCGTAGAGGCGTCTTGAGCGCAACTGCACCTGAGTAGCAAGACAAAATCGCAGATCTGCGAAAATTGTTTAACTACAGCTGACTCCCCCCCTTATTTGGGGATGCATCCGTACTGAGTGAGGCGAAAAAAGGAGGTGGATGTATACACGCAGTTTTTCTGAATTTGGCAATCCTGCCCATCCGTTTCACCTAAATTAGGCAATGATTAATATCCACACTCGGGTCGCATGTATAAATGCAGTTGGTCCAATCTGGCGCTTTTCTATGCGTGAGTGGCAACATTTTACGTGCGCGTTAATTTCACGATATCTGCATGTTCGCCGTCAATGTTTTCCTGGACGGCGTCTGACAAAACCAGCTTTTTGAAATTGGCCATTATAACGAAGAATTGACTGCATCCTTGTTAAAGAAAATTCTACAAAATGATCCCTTTGCTGTCGTCCAGTAGTAATATTTAACACCAGTTCAAACATGTTTCCTTTATCTGTGATTTGATAGTCTAAAAAAAAACAGCCATCGCTGAACACAGAAACCCAGGTTCAGCTTCTGATACCCTCAATCCATGGTCCCTGTTCTCACATATAAACCCTTCAAACTAAATTCGTGATGAGGAGGAAGCCATGTCCGAAGTAATCTCCCTCGGTGACGAAAAGGCACAAGTTTGAAGTCGACTACTGAAAATGCAGTTGCCCAACTTTCCGGAACGCAATCACGTCAGACGGATCACTCCTCGGAGTGACCATCGGAACATCGCGTTTACACATTCAGACATCTAGGCTGTAACTCCAGCTCATCGGAAGCGAAGCTCGAGTCGTACCTACAACTCGCCTTGTCGATAGGGCATAGGCTAAAACACCTTCATTCCAAGTTACACCCATGCAATCACGCCTCTAATGGAAGCCAACTCTAGGATGGGCCTGTTAGTTCCGTGGAGCTCCAAAGTCATTTATTAAGCTCGACTTCATCTCGTTCAACCGTTAACTCCCCGTGCACCCTCTCAAAGCGATACAATGAGTCGCACCCTCCTTCCAAATAGTTTCTGCTCTTCCCGCGCAGAATATTCGGACTTTTAGTTCCCACGGCGGTCTAAACGTGCATTTGGCTACAATCGATTTAGCACCCTGAGTTGAGATCTGTCCTGTCTGAGTCATCAGTCAACTGCGTGGCAGGAGTTCGTGTCCCTGGACGGCTGCCAACGTCTGGCCAGAACCCTCTCTGTCCTCCTACTCCCCTGCCGCCTCCTCCTCATTAGGACGCTACCGGCCTTCATCCGGCATCGAACGGCAACGGAGAGATCCCGATGACTATCGTTATGATGTTTTTTTGATGCTTCGTCGTTTATGCACGTGCACTGCGTTCCTCCCCCTCCACGCCCACAAGCAACATTCAGCTGTCATTCAATTGCTTTCAGCCTATGCTGTAATAACGACTTGGCGGCAGGCGGGGTCACGTTAAGCACGGGGAATTTCCACCCTAAATGGCTCCTACAGCATATCTATTTCTGACCGAACACTATACCCTTCACGCAACAAACCGTGCTCAGCGCTTGTGTACGATCTTGTCCGGTTTCCGAGAAGCATTCAGGCCTCCTCGTCTAAACGTACTTGCCGGTTTCATCAACATAAACGTATTGGATGAAACTTAATTAGAGAACAACAGATGTGGAATCCTGGCGAGGCCACAATTTTATTTTCTCCACACTGCTCCCACAACTTCCATGTTTAAC